TCTCTGGTTGTCCATGTATTGATGATAGTTAATCTTTACAATTGGTATTTGAAAACAACCTTACGAAGTTTTGCCTTCAAAAAAGTCCACGATTACCAAGACCTGCTTCACTCATTATGTAGAGGGAACAGTCTTAACATCAACTGCACCTGTTGAGGTTTCTGTCAAGCAATCTTAGCTGGTAAATGGGCGACTTTTGGAATTTTCATAGGTCATTTTGGATCACTTCAGCAATATGTTTAAAACGCCTTATTTGATATGATACGTCATCGTATTGAGAATTGCATCACTCTCATTAATGTGTTGTCGGCTTTTTAGTTTTCTCCGGTGAGTGTTTGCTGCTCCATTGTTCTCCTCTTTCACTTCCATGCTGAGAATGCATGATCCTGGCAGTTGTCATGAAACTGCAGCCGGATCAGCTTGCCCTTTTCGCATCTACACTTTTAGTTTTAAGTCCAGCAAGCAATGCGCTAAAGTTATTTGCATACACTGAATGCGCTATTTTCCTCTTTGAGTGTTACAGATTCTCAATTGCACTGCACTCAGTAAAGCGACTAATTTTCAACCATTCCAAGCAACATTTTAGTAATGTGTATCTGTGTCGACCACCTGGGTTTAGGCCTTAATCAGTAGCTCATGCCCACCAGGGGCACCTTGTCCACACCATTGCTCACTCCTACCATCGACAAGATGGGCTAAAAATTGTGTAGTTTTTAAACGAATAAATTAGAAGTCTTTTAAGAAAAGGAAAATGTTTTGTTGCACTGATTCATTCGAATATATCAGTATCATGAGGTTAGAAGCCTATACGACAAAAGCAGTCCAGTCGCCTTTGTTGCCAGGCTTTGTGGAAGCAAAGTTCGTGTGGGGCCAACGTGATTGAGTCTTCCATCAATGGAACATTGGTTAAAATAAAAGTGATACAAGACAAATAACATGTCAAGTCGCTCAAAGTGATCAGAGCTGGCTGTAAATCTGCAAAAATGTTGTTGTTGTTATACATTTAAAGAAAAGCTTAATACGGCAAAGAAGGGAGTGATAAATATTGGGCTTAGGAAACGTTAGCAATTAACACTCGAAGATCTGAGTCCACAGTACTTCTTTTGGGATCTTTTCGATTTTATTAGGTTGTAGGACGGAATGGCGGTATGTTACTGATTTGCATTATGAAAACTCTCACATTTTCACTTTTAAGAATACGCCGCGGCGACAAGAAGGATGCTTATTGCTTTTCCTCTTCTCGGAAAGGATCCTCTAGATCATGTGATGAAGAAGAAGAATCTGCCAAATTCTCTATCACTAGCCTCCCGCAAAGTGCCACCAAGCCTATTGTCCTTACTGACGTTAGACCTCTGGCCTCTGAGCTCCGGAAGACTCCCTCTCCTGTTGACTTTAATGCCTACGCAGTTGAACAAAAGGAAATTCCTTATTCCTCCCAACCCCCGAGGACAAAATCCTTCCCTAATTTCCTTGAAGAAGTAGAAACCTGTCTTCCTAAACGGCGCATCAGCAGAGTGAACGAACCATTGCAGGTGGAGGAAGCAAGCCGCAGCGCTTCTGATACCGCAACTGCATTTGCTCAAAGTAATATTCGGGAGCCTACGAATTCGGTCTTTTTGCAGGATGTTTGTGCCACTGTTCCACATGTGGTGATGCGCAAAAATGATGCTTTGAACCAAACCCTAACTCGGCATGGCTTCCCAATGCCTCAGTACGGCTTAAGAAGCACTGACAGCAGTGTGAGTAGCATTTCAAGAACCAGTTTAGTGTTCTTTTACTCCCAATTCAACTTTTTTCGCAGCAAAATGTTTACCTCAATAGCCAATGTACTCCAAGTCATTTGTTCAAAATTAGCAATTTTCTCAACCACCTGTGGGTAACGAAGTAATCATTTTTGCGATGTAGGCGTAAACCTGCTCAGGGTGAGCGGATTGCAAGGATGCATAAATTAGCATGTCCTTATAGTACAGAATTGTAGGCGGTGACCGTCATGCAATTGATTATGCGGCATCATCATAAAGCCCGTTTATCAAAAACCATGCACGAACTCATTGAGTAGAAAAGAGTGTTTCACATAAATTTCATGAACTAGTAGTTTCGTCACTTCGGACTTGAGGTAAACATTACTTTAATTTGTCGCGGCTGAAGCGGCGTGTGCATGGAGCAAAGAAGATGCGTACTTTTTACTGAACCATTGCTCACCCTTCAAGACCCCATTCCAGATCGCACGGTGGTTTTGTCGCATCAGCTTAATGTTTGGTTCTCACTTACCGTTTTTTGAGTGTTTCATTTCGATTGAATGAGGGTGACCCATGGTTTTTGCATTGAGTTTGTTTTTTTTTTACAAACCGATGCAGAAAAGGCATTTCTATCGAATGTAAGTGGTACCTTCAAAACAGAATGAATTTGTGACCATTAATGTTGATAATTTCACGGGCTACCTTTGATTTTAGCCTGCATTTTTTGGCAGCATAGACTATAATCGACTCAAACACTCATTTAACACTCCTGTTTGCGTTCACTCAATGAAAGGCTTGGCTGCCAATACCCAGATCAACCGTACAGACAAATATGGCGGCTGCCAAATCCGACTCGCCTCACGCCATTGTGCGATCGCGCTCACCGTCTAGCGTCCACGTTAATGAGGCGAGGAGCAGTTACGGGAGACCCTCGGCTAGCGCTCCTTCCGATCGTCATCGACGACTCTCACATCCCTCCATTCGACCTGTCAAAAATTCAACTAATTCCCGACACCAACCCGACCTCAAAAATCCGATTACCTTTTCAGAGGTTGGTTCTTGTCTTTTTTGAGTGAATCAGTTATTATTATTTTTAAATTGTTTTACAGGATTTTGTATTGCTTTGCAGCACTAACGGTGAGTGTTTTCAGCACATTTGCAAATCATAACAACCTTCAACTTTGAGATGCTTTTGTGACTCGACATCACCCACAATCAACGCTTGAAAGCTTTAGAGGCGTAACAAGCTTGTCATGGCTGTACTGAAACCATAACATAGTGATAGCTTAAACGGTGTAAGGAAACTGCATAATGCCCACCAACGCCATTTATTTTGGATGAACATAAACCATTCTATTACGATGTTATTTCGTAGGATGAGGCGGGGACCTTGACATTTAGGCTAGTCATTTAATTTTACGAGGAGCGCAATATTGTGGCATGTCGTTGGGATTGCTCGAATTGAGGAAGAAGTGAAAGCTGGCACACATTTAAAGCCGTAGGCTCGCTTTCACAATCTAATGACCAGAAGTCAGTGAGTTCCACGGTTGGTAGTAGATGAAAGCAAGTGGGTGTTTATTACATGGCTCATCACGTCACGATCCTATTTGGCGCTACGCAAAATCAGCAGTTTTGATAATTCACTGAGGACACTTGCCTGCACTCGAAGTGGCAGTATACTTATCGAGACTTTTTTCGAAAATCATAACAAAAGTAGCCTCTTGACTTCTTGTAGTGTTGGTTGATAACGATGATCAGGCAAACGAATTTGAGAACTAACTTATTACCATTGATTGTAATATGTATAGTCTTTGATGTATTTGTGACGTATTTTTGGGTGGAACCGTTGGTTTAGTACTTAGGTTATCCTGTGGATACCATCATTGCTCCTAGCTCCTCGGTTTCATATCCATCACAGTACGTAGTAACAACTTCTCTACTTTGTACTAAATAATTCTGCTTTTTAGCGATCACCCATTAATCTCCCGCATCCCCTTACAATGAGGCTCATACTTAAATATAATTATGCGAATCTAAAACACCCCAGACCTTAATGTAAGATAGGATGTTCTTTGGAATCCGTAAAATTATTTCGCCTCAAATCATATTATCCCTTTTGTATGATGTGTGTGGATAACTTGAGTCCTTACAAGGCAGAGGTGGGTTAATGCGAGTTGCATGCTCAAACCTTTCATTAACGCCCCGAGTCCTGAAACTCACCACCCGTGTTGGACTTGCATCGTATATCTGCGTCGCCGGATTTCGAGAATGAGCCAATTCCCAGAACATTAGACAGTAAAATGCACATTGGAAAAACTATTGCTGTCCAGTTCTACCAATAATATTCGTACTACTGTTTCTCTATTAACAAATTCAACGGCATATGAACATATCTTTTCTTAAATCATGATTGGCCATTGTCAATTACAAACGAATCTAATATGAATTTGCGAGGTGGCAATCGTCTTCTAAAAGGCCGAGCAAAATGGTTTTGCGATTTGCGACAAACGATCAAAGCATCACTCACTGTTTGATACTTCTCCATCATTGCGCTCTTAGTTACTCACGCAGAAATGCACAATCTATGCCGCTATGCCTTGCACAATTTCACACCACCTTCCGCTTTTTTAAACCTTACCCAAGTTTTTTTTATGCAGTCTCAAAAATATGAGCCCCATCGAGTTTTTGCTCTATCTCATTCCCCAAACGCAATGAAATCCGATCTCATCGATGATGCTCAAGATAATCGGGTGTACATTCTCAACAATCAATTCCAACTCCCCTTTCGCCTATTTCCCTCCTTAACAACCAGTCATCCGAGATTGCACACCTTGCCAGTGCTTACAACAACGTAAGCCTTAGTTTTGATTATTCTACGACTTCGTAACCTTAAGTACATACTTTGACAATGGGATCAGAACACGAGACTCCTAATATTGTTAGACTATTTAAAACGATTGAACCAAAGCAATGCGAACCTTATGATATCATCGAAAACGTAGAGGTGCTTCACGAAATCGGTAAACATGAATGAGGGACTCGTTGATTTCAACTTTGTAGCAATGACTCAACATTGTCAACTGTGCGAAATACAAGTCTGCATCATCTTAATAAATGCATCCGACCCCGCTACCTTAGTTAGAGGCCAACGTGCCAGTTGTGATACCCCAAATCTCTAACATGAGTTGTTCAACCCTTACTAAATAATTCCTTTAGACAAGCGCGTTCAATCAGACGATGTTGAAGTCAACCGGACAATTTGACATCGACCAACGCTAACGAATCCCAGCACCACCAGCTTTTTACTTTGTCTTTGCATTTGAACGATCATAATTTTCTCCTCTTTCTCACCTGGGAGAAGTACCAGCATTATCTACATCTCTTAACTTTTGTATGTCCCATTACCAAACATACCTGCTCATTGATCAGTAGCCTCCACACATCTTGCCCAGTTATTTGCCTACCGATTTGTTTCGTGCATACCTGACTACACAACCTGCTGTGAGCCAAGATGTCGAAGCTGGTCTCCTAGAAAGTCCACATACTTGCTGTGCTGTGTTTGAGAAACAAATGCATACTTTCTGGTCACTTCACGGTGATACATGATACAAGACGTCAAATTTCGAAAGCTTGCTGTTTATGAATGAAATCATGTCCGAAGTGGTGTTTAAGTAGCTACTAGCCAATAACCAGTAGGAAAAATGAAATTCGAGCCAACAACACTGAGCACTGATTCGAATACATGGAGCTGAATTTGTCCAACAATGCAATTTCCAACGAGACCAAACATTACGCGTCAGAAGCACTAGAAACAAGTGGCCATGGCCCGTAGTCTATCAATTATCTGTGAGCAAGTATCGAATGGATTGGCGAAATCGTTGGTTTCACTACCAATATTGTTCGACATCTCAAACTCCAATAAGGCCGTGTGGATGGCTTCAAAAGTTAGAGGCTTCCCAGTGAGCGCCTCATTGAGCCTACTTATCCAAGGGTTTACTACAGGTTTACCGGTTATTGCCGAGGATATCCGCTGGAGTAGAGGGGTTGGTGTGACCAAGATTCCACCTTGCTCTATCTTTCTAATACGTCCTTTCTCACATTCCAAACAAATTTGCGTTCCAGAATCCGTCTCCATAGGAATGGAGAATTTCGGTGAAGAACCGTAAATCCAATCCCAGGACTGGAAGGTGGTTAGGTTCGCCTCAAAGTCTTTTGCATTGACCCACTTACACTCTTCACCGGCATTTACGGTGACTAATTCCACTTTGTCAGT